TTGTTTGTTACAAGCGGCGATAGACACTAGAGTAAACACTAGCCGATAGACACTACATTTTCAATACAGTATCTACTCTTCGCCATACGCAGGAAAATAAATGAAGTAAGATAGCACGCAAAGAAAATAGAAAGAAAAGAGAACGGTAGAGTACGAAATTGAAATAATGGGTTAGGGTTCGAATTTCGACATAATTTTTATGTCTAAAAAAACCTTATAAATTATAGGTATAAAATACCAAATATCGTAAAAATCTATCCACGCAGTAAAAAGATATTGATTTTTCAAAAAGGGCTTTTCTGTTGAAACACCCTGTATATCGTTGAAAGTAGGCAGAATTCTCATTATTTGCTGAAAACAAACAAATTTATACGAAAATTTTTAAATTCAGTTAAAGGTCTTTTTTATTTTTTATAAAAATAAAATGGATAACATGAATCCATATTATGCTCTAAAAATATGAGACTAACTCAATCCCTCAATATAACCCAAATCCCTCGATATTACCTATGACACCATGAAATACACGATATAACTCAAAATCCACCTTAATCGATCCAAATCCTCCGATATGCCATTCACTTCCCTTAATTCCTTTCATGTTTCAGGTGGAAGGTGGTCCAAGGAGAACCGGACCAAAAAAACGCCGGAACTTTCCTGAACGGAACCGGAACTTCCATTGAAACCCTAGTATTTACTCTATTAATTGCAGTGTATTTCCTAAATCTTTTCTAAGATGTTAATTAAATAGTTGCTAAACTTACCCAATTATCATCTTTAATAAATATTCCTTCTTTAAATTCTTCCATAAAATTTTCTTCGAGTGTTATTTTTCCTACTGGATAATTAACAAAATTATGGTAATAATAAGAACCAGGATTTAAATATCTATTTCTTGCTTCCATATGAACTCTTTCTAACATTATATTCTCTAGGATTTCAAGTTCGATTTCCAATTTTTTTATTCCAACTATCCTTCCTCTTGAATTTCCTTCACCTTCTTCAACTAAATTAATTTTTACCAGTTTAACATAAGGAGTATTCACGTTCCGGTTAAACTCATGTTCGATAACGTAATGATGGCTGAATACTTTTTTGGGTAAATAAACCGTGAAAATTGCTAAGATTAGCAGAATTATCGAGAGCAAATCAATTTTAAAATACATTTAAATATATCTAAATTTTGTTTAGTAATTAATTTTAATTTGTTTTTAAATTTTTTTCAGATAAATGAAAATTTATTTTTAGTTGTGTCAGGGCAAAAGTCGGTCAAAATTCGATCAGACTAAACTCAATTTTAAGTCGGTTCATACAAAAGGCGGTCAGACATAACTCGGTTTACCAAAATGGGTTCGACCAAAAGTCGGTCCGAATGGATTAGGGTCTTGTTTCGGTCCAGAGTTGCGTCGTAATTTAAAAAATTTTTTTTCGTAATCGTAATTCGTAACCAGTGCTTCGAAGCTCTTACCAAAATTCGTACTCGTACTCGTACCTGGTACGAAGTACGAGTACGAGCAAAAAAATGGGGCAGGTACGAAGTACGAGTACGAGGCCAAAAAAGTGAAAAGTACGAGGTACAAGGCCTAAGTACGAGCTCGTACTTCTCGTATGTTGTACTTCTCGTATGTTGTTCGTAACTGAAAAAATGCCGTAATTCGTAATTTATAAAAAAATATTTAAATTAATTTTAAAAAGCAAATATTTATTTGAAAATTGAAAATTAGTATAAAATTATTTAAATGAATATAGAAATAGAATAAGTACCTACATATAAGTATGTATTTATAGATTAGCTGTCTTACATAAATGGCAATGCCTTCCTTTAATCAATTTATTATCTTTCATAAGATATGCAGGCTTTTGTCCAGTTTATGCGTCCCATGAAAGTATATGCGTCCCATCAACAAAAAATTGAATATTTCTTGGTGTTGCAAAGTAGAGGTATGGTTCCAAAGCATTCTTCATGTTCGGGATCTACGTCCACTGGGTCTGGGACCGTTCCTTACCCTATCCTTCGAAATTTCTGAAAGTTATAGCCAATTTTTACAAATTTCAGAAAAACGATTTTAACTTTCAGAAATTTCGAGGTATAGGGTAAGGAACGGTCCCAGACCCAGTGGACGTAGATCCCGAACACGAAGAAATGCTTTGGAACCATACCTCTACTTTACAACACCAAGAAATATCCAATTTTTTGTTGATGGGACGCATATACTTTCATGGGACGCATAAACTGGACAAGAGCCGATATGCAAGCCAAAATGAGCCAAACTCTGATTCGTGAGCCAAGCTCTGGCTCATACACGTATCTCATGTGAATATATCCGTCCCATGAAAATATGTGTCTCAAAAATAATATTTGCACTTAAGACGCGTATATTATTTTGTCGCATACATTCACTTGAACTCATGCCTTAAATAAAGTTGTAGCTGTTGAGTCCCTAATTTGTTTAAATATTTTTTATCAATTTTTTAAATGTTATTTCTCCTTAATTTAATTTGTTTCTGTTAAACATCTTTTACAATATGCCCTTTTTCCATATTCAAAAAAGTTCCGCTCGGCTGCGCCCCAATCGACAAATCGAGTATTTTTACTTTGTTGGACATTTTGAGATGGGCCGTTTTTTGGGTGGGCCGTTTTGGGGGTTTCTGTACATTGGGCCGTTTTGGGGGTTTTTGTACATTGGGCCGTTTTGGGGGTGGGCCGTTTTGAGGTGGGCCGTTTTGGGGGTATTTGTTCAGTGGGCCGTTTTGGGGGTGGGCCGTTTTGGGGGCGCGCCGTTCCGCTCCAACCTTTTTATCTAAACTTTTTATATTTAAAACATTCCCTCTCAACATCATTTAAATATATTTTCCTTTTAATCCAAACATTCAAATTTCCTTATCAAACTTATTTATGACCCATAAACTCAACTTACATGTTATACTCTCATATGCCGCCCAGGGGAGGCGTTTTGCGTTTTTTGCGTTTTGCGTTGATTTTTGGACTTGCGTTGCGTTTTGCGTAAATTTGGCCCAAATTAACGCAAAAAACGCAAAAGATATACACAATCTGAGGTCAAAATTGAAGAGATCTGGCGTCTTTAACTTCCAAAATTCTCAAAATTTTCGCCTGCGGCGCTGAAAAAGAAAGAAATCTGGCTTCTTGGCTTTCCAAAATCTCAAAATTTTCGCCTGAGGCGCAAAAAATGGAGAACAGTTAAGAGTGGTCAAAGGAAAGTTAAGTTGACCTGAAGGGATAGAAGAATACGGGTCGATTTACTGGACTAAGTTGGAATTAGGAAGGTATAGGCGATTTGTAGGGTTATATGGGAATCCGTCAATCCCCAGAAGATATTAATGGTTTTTGTGAATTAAGTAGGCTATTCCCCAACTCAGCCGACATCCTTGGTAATCCCATGGTATCTTTTTGACTCTCCAAAAAACATGATAATCTCCGTATCCCCCACTACTATTATCCCCCTATAATTTACCGAACCCAATACCCCCTTTATCCCTCTAAATCCTCTGATATCCTTCATAATCCCCTTGTATCTCCGATATTAGTCCAAATCATTACCCATCTAACTTACATGCATCAAAAAATCGAGTAGAACTCACTGACCTAATGTAATACTTCAATTTTAACTAAAAAATAGCTAATAATTAATTAAAAAAATTTTTTCCCAATTTTGCGTTCTTGCGTTTTTTGCGTTGATTTTTGGCCTTGCGTTGCGTTTTGCGTTTTTTGAAATTGTCTCTTGCGCCCACCCCTGATCCCGCCCTCATATGTTCATATAAATATCCACTCAAAATTAACTGAATTAAACGTAACTTACTTATTTGTTGAAAATAAACTTGAATTAAAACTTGTCTATTATTTGTTTGAGTTAAAATAATCTAAAAATAAATTAGGAACCTCAACTAAAAGTTTTGAGAGAAAATAAATTAATAAGAAAGAACCGGGTCACAATAGTAGCCTTGATATTAAATTCGGATTTATGAGAAAATTATTTTAAATTTTTGCCCAGGGGCAGATCTAAGGCCAATCCTATCATTATTCGTTATATTCTGTTACCGCATATTTATTCGAATAAAGCCACATTTCTATTTTAAAGACAACCTCTAAGAACCAAATTTATTTAGTCAATAAGAACAATAGAAAAAGTTAAGAATAATAAAAACTAGCTAATTATAAACACAACCAATAGCACACTAATCCAGGCTGACCTCACTTATGTTAAAATATTTAGATACCGAGAGGGACATGAGAGTTTGCATAGCCCAGTAGCCCGTAAAACGGGTATTTTGATAAAATTAACCGTAAGATCCAACAAGGGTCATTTTGAAGATAGCTAAGGAAACAGGGTTTTCCCGGATAGACAGGAAACCATTTTCGATAAAATCCGAGTTTTGATGGGGTTCCAGAATGAAATCCGTAATCAAGTTTGAAAGAATAAATCAGGATACCGTGACCAGAGGCAATTTGGAATTTAAACTCTATATACATAAGTGAGGTCCGACCGATATTAAAGAGATACAACATAGCACAAGGTTTTTAAGTGAAATTGAATTGAAAGTAAAATTATAGAGATATGATGAGAAGGAAATTTGAAGTGAATATTGCTGTCTATAAAACAATAGAATAGAGTTAGACCCCCGACTCTCCGAGGTTAAAAAATCCGGGCTTGGCATTTGTCAGGATTATAAATGTTTGGGGTAGTATTAAAAACGATCGGCGTTTTGGGCTCCCTCAGAATTGTTGTCCCTACCAAAAAAAATTTCAAAATCCTGCAAACACCTTTCTAATGTATTTTCTAACAGTAATCACGAATCTGAACTCACAATTTATCTAAAATTTAATCAGATTCGTGATCAACACCGCAAATTATCCGAGAAAATGAGTTTGCAGGATTTTCAAAATTTTCCAGCCAAATTAAAACAATGGGTTCTGGGTTAGAAAGAGGTCGGGGTCCAACCTCACATTAAATACATGAACTTTCAAAAAAGTAATTTTTCTATCAAAGCTTTTCTTCCAGTAATCTCCAAATAGTTATTGCATCCTCGGGATCATCCCTAAAATTTATTTGAAAATTTGGTTAAATTTTTCAAAAGATTTTCTTACGATGAAGCGCTAAATACCAACGGCCAGTTCGAATTTACTCTAGTGTTTGTAGCTATAGCACTAATTGGACCGTCATGAGCTTGCTGACGCTAAAATTTAATAATAATCTAAATACTCAGAATAAGATATCCCCTTGGGGTGGAAAAATGGTAGCACCTTATAATGAGGTGTATATTAAATAGAGGGGATTACTGTAGTCAACCAAACAAATATTTTTAAAAATTTTCATTTTAAATGGATCTGACCATTTTGAAAATTTTAGTAAGGTTGACCATTTTGAGAAAAACGGAGGCTGACCATTTTGAGAATAACGGAGATTTAGCTCATAGAATATCTATGTAGCAAAATCCATGTCCATGTACAGGACTAGTATTTTAAATGGGAGGCATTGTTTGGGCAGACTCTCACCCACTAGATTGGGCAACTTTTAAAAAAATAACTTAAATTGAGGTTATCTTGTATTGGGTGTATCTTATACCTAGGTAGTCGGTAAAAAAAATTTCTTTTTACCATTTCTATCGAAACCATTCTGTTTGAACTACCAACATCCCAAATTCTTATATCTCCGCCACGGGAGCCTGAAATAATTCGTTGTGGAGATAATGCCTCTAAGACAGTAACTGCCTAAAAATTTTTTTATATATTCCTTGAAATTAAAATTACGAACATCATTGTGGGCATTTTGTTCCACGTGGTCTCTTTTTGAGTCAAGCAGTGAATATCGCATGATACTCTGAAAAAAAGAAGAATAAAAAATTCTTTTGGAAAAGCTCAGTTGAGCCTCGACCAAGCTAAGTTCTAACCTCAATAACTCATAAGAGGATGGCCACATTTTAGCGTTCTTGATACCGATGGATAGAGAATCAAATACACTATAATCTGCCAGAAAATCAAAATTATAGATAAAGAAGTTATGACCGATAGGGTACCAAAAAAGCATACTTTTTTGAGAAATTTTTAGTTTTTAGCTCATAACTCGTTTTATCAATCAGTCGAAAAGTTTGATTTTTTGGTATCTTATAGCGTATTCAATTCTCTATCCAAAGGTACCAAGCATATTAAGAAGTGGACATCCCTTCATCAGTTATAGAAATTGGGACGTAGCCTGGTCGGGGCATCTTCTCCTAAAGATTTTGAAAGAGAGAAAAGTGAGTGCCTGGTCTTTTGAAGCAGTAAATAAAGCATTTTGTGAAAAGCATAGTGAAGTTATTGTTTTTGTATGGCCTGGTTCCAAATTAACCCAACGTGAGGGAATAAAAGGCTTTTGAATTTTAACTTCATCGTAGAGAGAAGCCTTAAAATTTAAATAAAATTAATGTTTGGCAAATGGCATTTCTGGTATCGAAAGTAAGGATACAGAAGATGCGGGTCGGGCTTTCAGACTTTTTTTTGGATCTAAGTCAACGACCACCTCGTAGTTAATGAATGCTAGGCGCTTTCGCTCATTAGATACAGGAGCTCTACCACTGACTACCGGGCATCGACTAATGCTTTCTCTTTTATCCTTATAGATGTTTAACCCCCGCCTAAGCGTTTTAAATGCTATAGGTGAATCGTCCATCCTTAAATCAACATCCAATTCGAGATAGCGAGATCTCGACTCCCCTACGTATTACAGACTCTTGTACAACCGCCCTTTAATTCCAATAATAATCTAAATGCCACTCACGCATTTTTTAGTTGCCGTTGCAATGCGCACAGACATATTAGAATTTTGGCTAGACGAGTCAGAAACTTGAGAAACTGCCAACATACGGACATCGCCGCTTAAATGGAGTTTTTAATTAAAATTTCTTCCCTTCAAATTACCTATCAGTCAAATCCCTCAACATCCCTAAATGCTCAATCTTTTCCAAATCCCAAATGCGCACTCCCGCGGCGCTCGTTGTAAATAGAAAATTTCCCCCAGAATTTGAGCAAACTTCCATTTGGTAAATGTCAGTCTCTGTTGGAGGTAAATGACGAATACGTTCACAATGTCCATTCTCTCCTTGACTGACCAAACCCATTGAACTTAGATGGCGGATACAACGTTCTGTAGGAGCTGCACGCAAATCCCAAAGCTGGAAGATAAAAAATAGTTGGACTTCACTATAAGATAACCTCTATATTATATACTACACTACTATTTAGGCTACATCTCAGACTTGGCTGGACAGAGGAGGAGGCTGATTAAGTGATACCATTTATCTAAGATACCTCTCAGTATAAGGTATTTTAATTCTGATCCCCCTACAAGATGAACATCCTAAAGGACTATACTCCTGAGATCAAATGACCCAAAAGGGCACTTCCTATAGGACAACAATCTTAGGACAAATTCTTATAGATCAAATCATCCTAGAGATGTGATTATCGCAAGAGATTCCTTTTGGTCAGAAACTCAAGGGGTTTTTTGTATCTTATGGGTTAATGACGTATATTTCTGCCCCGAAGGTGTATTGTATAATTAGGTTTTTATAAATCCAAAAATAAACGGATAAACACCTTAACAATATTCATAGATGAAGAAAGAGCCATATTCTGTTGATCTGGTAGCAATCTGACCGAATAAACAATATTCGGATGGCTTCCAAGTGTAGCTATATCAGAGCCAGTTTCCAAGTCCCAAACAAGGGCATTTCTGTCTTTCGATCCGCTAATCATTTTAGTTTCGTTAGAGTGAAGACATAAAACACCCTTTTGATGCCCATAAACTCGATAAATTCTTTGAAGATCGATAAACTTATAGAATAGCTTGTCCTCGACTGGAACAAATTCTGGAGCCTTCCTTCAAAAATAAATTTAAAATTAGGGAGGTGAAGCAATTCCCCGTTCTAATTTTAGTTAAAGTAAATAGAAAGGGCAGGCATTGGGAACCCTAGGCATTCATTGGTCCTGCAACCTCTTAGAAGTTATTGCTAGGCGCATACATACAAATGACCTTTTAATAGTCTTAAACCCACGCCTAATAAGCTTTCTAAATCCTAGCCAGCTGTATCACACTTCTTCCTTAAAATTCCAAATTAATCGAAAACATTTACTCAGCTAATAAAAATTTGTAAGGAAAAGGAGTAAGAGATATTGAGGGAGGAGTGGAAAAGAAATGTAGGGATTAAGATTTAGGGAAATGTAACTCTCCAGTATCGTCTTAAGGTCTCCATTTCTTCGGATATATATCCAAATCCTCCTATATCTCTTCATACCCTTGGATTCTTCAAATACCCTGTATCCACGACACGATTCGTCCGAACTCTATAGCTATAACTCTTATTATAGTTTTTAAATGAGAAATAAAATAACCATACTTTAGATGCCTTTTTCCAGCTTTTGAAACGTTAGGCTCTGTAAGGTCACTTCTATCGGTTGAACAATCATTCCTACTATAATCTGGAAGGTCACTCTCATCTTTCCCTAATTCATTATGACTATTAGATGACATAACCAAAGCAGAATCTGATGTGGAGCAGGTTGCTTCGGATGCAACTTTAAAAGGCAAAATTTTGAGATTGAAAGTACACTAGGAAACCCACGTTTGTCTGGGGAAGGTTCATCACCTTTACAGATAGGAACAGGTAAAATATCATCAAATAGAGATAACTGATTCGCGTTATTATTTGATAGAGTGGTCGGTCTATAGTCATTTTCTGGTACGTTCTGAAAAAGGAAAATGGGAGTTTGAATTAACTGGGTTGATTAGGTAAAGTCGGAACTCGCTATAAGACACACATAACTTAAAATTAGCTAAGCTCTAGAGCCAAGCTCTTGCTAAGGCTGAGCCATTAGCCAAGCACTTGCCGAGTGTCTAGGAGATGTCTAGTCTAGTACCAGTCTAGGAGTCATGGACCAGAGTGAGGGCATGAGGAGGGGGGCTATGACTGAGGGCAGCTGTCTACCCACGTTTTGGACACGTCTTGAGAGGGGCTATGATTGAGGGCAGCTGCCTACCCACAATTTTGGACACAACTCATTATAAACAAGTCTTTCCACCCTCATGTGTATCAGGGCGTGTCGAAACTGATCTTACAGAACGAAAGAGAAACTAGGACAACCCAGGCGTATCTTATAGTTGAGTTCCGACTTAAAATAAACACCATAAAAGTTGTGTCATGTTCCTGATTCATACGCAACTGAAAATTTAGTTTAGCAGACTCAACAACCTCCCTCATATCTTCATTTGATTCAATACCGAGAAGTGCCGTTAATTCCTTTAAAAAGCATTACTAATAGGACTAGGTTAAATATTCCTTCACTTTATTTTCCGATTCAAGTCTTGTGTTATCCGCTCCCTTTTGAATTGTCAAATCAATCAAATTGCGAAGAATATAGAGCATTTCTTGGGGGATAGAAAATTGCCGGGAGAATTGGAACATTAAAGAATCTAGATCCTTTACACCTTCATAGGCAGCAGGAAAGGCTTGAGCAGAAGCTCGACGTGATGAAGGCTCAAGACAGATCTGGAAAAAATAAATTAGGCTTTGGTCATCATTGTCTTTTAATTCTTTCTGGGCTGATTCCAAGATGGTTCTATTCCATCTCCCGTCCAGTGAATTTCTCCACAGCATGAGCATAATAATGGCGTTGTCGACAACTAAGTATAGCCGGAGGAAAATTGAGCGAACCTCCAACGCTGGAGATTTTTTCTTTTTCTACCTTCTACAGCTAGTCTCACAATAGTAGGGAGAAAAGGAGAAGGCCCTGTGGTATTACTTCAACTGTGTGCGGGCAGAGAATAGAAACTGTGATTCTAGGCTGTCCTTTAGTATAGACAGAACTAAAAATCATTTAACACCTGCTCATCATCCAAATCCACAATTGCCTTCTGAGCTCTTAAAATTTCCTCCTGGACATAATCAAGTTTTTGCTGTATACTTGATTGCTGTTCTAACACTAAACAGCGAATAGAAGGATCCGTTATTGAAGAATAATTGCTCTGAAGACGTAACAGCTCGTCTTGGAGGTTTCTACGTTCACTGCACATACGATCCAACGCGTGCTCTTCGCGTACAATCGCATTTCTTTTGACCGTAAAGCCTTCAATCTTAAAGAGAGATTCTCAAAAATCCGAAAATTTGAGCAGTCCCACCGCCCGTTCAATAGCATTCCATTGACGTTTAGTACGAATAGGTGTCTGTTTATACTTTGGGGTTCTGACATAATTGTTAGTTGGAGTATAACAAATATTCTCGTTATTCACAGAGGATTCATTCTCAACTATATATGTTGTGTCCATATCAGAACTTGATGGGAGTTGACCTTGTTGAGGAGTGTTGGGTGATCTGACAGCACGTTTGCTTTCATAAATGGTCTGGCGACGAGCTTGAAGAGCCTGAAATCAAGATAATTTTAGGAGTATTGCTTGTCAACACAGCTAAGATCATAGTTTTCTCATGAAGGAAAAATTAACAAAATGGTCACTCACTGTAAAAGTAACAAAACATTTACTTATAACCCTTTTAGGAAAACTAAAAAAGATGTTCGTGTCAAAGCTTTTTTTAGTAGTGTGGTTAAATTCCAGTTTAGACCTATCTTAACAACATGTGAAGCTGTGTGCTAAAGCCAAATCAAGATAAAATGCCTATTCGGGGTCAAAGGTTCGAACCCGCTTGGAAAATTAATTTTTTAAAAAATCTTAAAAGGGCAAGTAGAACGTTTTGGGTATTTTAATTTAATTTTTGAATCTCTCCTATTTTATTAAAAAACATGATTTTAGTTCTGCTGACAAGTAATATTCTAGCCAGGATAAAAATTTAAATTGGCCTGTTACCTTTTGAGAATCCTTCAGTCGCTGAACTTCCTCAGCCTTTCGTCTCAAATTTTCCGATTTGAGTGCAGATTCCCTTTCCAACTTTTGTATTTTATTTTGTTGCTGTCTCTGAGTCTTTTCATAAGTAGCCACTTTCTGCGCATTCGCAACTTGTATTTCACGAATCCTTTTGTTTTCCTCCTTCAACCTCCTCATCAATTCAACTTTTTGTCTTTTCATACTTTCCAAGTCGTTTTTCATCCGAACAACTTCCATTTGATGCCTATTTTGTTGCGCCTGCATCTTTTTATTTTCACGCTCAGCCACTTCTATTCTCTTATGTTCAAGGCGCATGTCAGAAAGACGCTTCTCGTACTGCTCTTTAACCTTGTTAATCTCCTCCTTCTGTTGTTTGGTCTGTTTCTTCGCTGTCATCTGTTCAAGAACGTTGTCACGTTCAGCCTCTGTAGACTGAATCCTCTTACAAAGCTCCTCCATTTTATTTTCAAAATCGCGTCGTAATTGTTCCAATCTGCGCTGACTCATTTCCAACTCGACCACAAGACGTTCTTTTATGCTTATATCTTCATGGAGTTTGGCCAAATCGGAATGAATTTGGTCGCGACGTTCTGAAGAAAAATAAAAAGTATTTCAACCGTAGAAGGGAATATATCTATCTAGTAGAGACCGAGATGGGCCTGGACCAAGGCCTGGGTTTTTCCTGTACCCACAGTCCAGGCCCAGGCATTTTTTGACCTTCCTGGATTTTTCCGGGGCCTGGGAAGGATCCGGCCCAGGTCAATAAATCAAACCCGAAACCCAGAAACAGGCCCAGGCTTTTCAAAAATCTCGATCTCTAATATCTACCTAAACTCCTCTGTTCTGCCGGATCAGTATCTCCGTCTTCATCCTCCTCTTCATCATCAGTATTCTCTTCTTCGTAAACAGCCTCCAGAAAATTTTGTTCTTTATCGACTTGGTTAATGCCTAAAAATTAATTGGAAAATATTTAATGGCGAGACAGGGAGAGAGGTACTTTAAGGATGTCCCGCTCTTCCTAGTTTGAGACGTTTATTAATATGTACATAATGGTCAGACTTCCTTCCATGCTCCCTTTAACTCTACTTCCCTTGCCATATTCAAACAAAATGCATTTAAAAATTATTATTATGCGAATTTTAAGGAAGAGGTCTGCCCACGCGTAGATCTTAGGAAAGATCTGACTCAAACTAGGAAGGGGTGGGGTGAAGTGGGGATTAGCCAAAACATACCGACGAGAAAATTTTATTCCTTTGCTTACATATACATATTAAACATTTTCCCCGCTTACTTTTAGCTTCAGCTTCATTCAACGCCTTTTTATCCATTTCAATTTCCTCCCTCGCCTGATTTATCAAACTCTCAGTAAGGTTAGCTGATTGAGGTTGATGAACATACGGAGAGCCATACAAGCTGCTATTCATCCCGTCCCGAAAGCGTTGATTTTGTTTGCGAAGCGTTTCATTAGTCACCTCATATTCGATTATATTGGACCTGAATTTAGCAAGAATGCTTTACTTTCCCTTTTTTAAGGTCGTACTTTAACGTCTCAATCTCTTGCAAATACCCTTGAATTATAGAAGATAACTGATTTTCCTCGTTAGAACTCGATCCGTCATTTTCCTTATTTTCTAGCGCTCCCCTAAATTTACTCAATTCACGCTCTTTTGTCAGCTCAATAATTCTAGAATTTAAAATATTGTTTTTTTCGTCCAAGGCCTTTAGGCGAGTTGACAAGCGAGTGTTTTCATTCTAAAATTTTTGAAGGCTTTTATAGTCCTTTTAGAGTCCCCTCAAACCTTTAAATAGAGATTCTCTGTGTATTGATCATTTAACAACTCCTCCCCATCTTCATTTAATACACGTTTTCCTTGTTGATATTCCAATAGTTGAGATTCAAGAATAGATATACGAGTACGGAGATCAGTTATTAATTTGGAAGACTTGTCCTGATTAGCGACAATCTTAAGAAGAAAATGGTAAAAGTATGGTTTATGTGATGCATTTTTTCATCTCCCTGGAAAAAAGAGGCGATTTTTGGTATTTATTAGGTCTACCAGTAGCAAGGGTGTATCCAGCTGGAGACCCTGGAACGACCCCCTGGATACGCCATTGACTAGTAGGTAATTATGTGGGCTGAGTTCGAATATGGGTCAAATTTTATTTCGACTCCCGGATCCGAAATACGACCAGGCGAATTCAATTAGAAATTAAAAGCTAACAACTCTCTTCAAGTCACGAATTCGGGTCCGGAATTCGAAAATTCGACTCATATTCGAATTCTGAACACGGTAAATGTCCAGTTGACTACCACCATCTGTCCGCAACGGGAACACGCACTTTTCACTCCTTTTCTTGCATTTTTTTCTGCAAGGAGTGCGTATTCTCTTTGCGGAAAGGTGGGAGTCAACTGGATATTTACCCTGAACACTTACATAATTACCTACAGACAAACCTCAAAAATATCAAAAAAACCACTTATTTCTCATTTTTTCTAGGGAGATGAAAAATGAGAATGCGTCACATAAATAATAACTTCCCGAAAGAAAAAATTTCTAAAAAATGAACCTTATTTTTAATATTTTTGGCCCGATTAGCATAATTTAGAGTATTCAAAGTCTCAATAAAGTCAACATCACAAGGACTAGCACACGCAATCATTAACGTCCGACTGTTCCCTCCAAGCGAGTCTTGCAACAACCGGGTGAGTTTGGAATCACGATAGGGAACATGAGTGACCTTTCCACTGCCCAAAGCAGAGATTACGTTCCCGAGAGCGAGCTAAAGAATATTATTTGAGAAAAGTTTTGAGGTAAACCAGTCCAGAATTGATGCTGATTCCTTCTTTAGCACGGTCTCCTGTTGCACCAGTTCTCTTTAATCGCTCGGAACCAGCAAGGTCAACAAAGTGAAATTTTGCATGTAATACTTCTAGCTCGGTTTTTTGTTTGGGAGAATCATCCTAAATAACTAAAATATTTTACGGAAGCAAGAGAATGAGTAAATTTACAACAATTTTCGTGTTTAGATTTTTTGTTTCGTCATCGTTTTAAATCACTCTAACAATTGATAAAACTCTGGTTTAGAAAGGTATATAGATGGCTAGGGCTGGCAGTCTTCAGAAATTCCCGAATATCCAAATCCGGATATTTCAAATCTGATATCTAAACCGAAAATTCCGTATCGGATATTCAAACCGAACGAATCCGAATCGAAAATTTAGAAAATTCCTGGCTTTTTCGGATCGGGAACCTACACCTCTACATGTGGCACGTTTAGAATCCATAAACAATCATACGATTGATTTTCCCAATTTAAAATATAAAAATCATTGTTTAACCTCGTTCTCTTCCATTGGCACCACTCTAGTTTGTTTCAATCTAATAGTAAATATCGCATGCGATCTACTCGATTGTTGATTCATATTCGTCGCAGCTGTGGTTCTATTCAAAGCCCCAGCTTTTAATGCTGACATTATATCCAAAGCGCTCTTCACAGACTGCCAAGTAGCCCCTTTAAGGCCAATTTCATTACGAACGGGATCTTCTTGAATTCTAATGACTGTGTTGCGAGAACGGTCGTCGGACAGCAAATCAACTATTTCTTCGTTATAAAGCTTAAAATTGGAATTTATTAAACAAATATTTAAAGGGTCCAACCAGAAGATCAATAACCAGAAGGCAAATAGTTATAAAGGACAAGACACAAAGGTCAACTTACCCAAAGGTCAACACCCAAATATTTGGTCGAATGGACGCATTGTCAAGAATACGTTGGAATACCCCATTCGGTAATTCCAAGGCTGCCCCCCTTTTTTCCTCCTATTTTTTTCGATTTTTTAAAACTTTTTATGGCAAATTATATATCATTCGAAAGAGCTCTTCAAGCTGAGTCGAACGGTACTAAATTCATCGAAATACGACTTAAATAAACATAGTGATGAGCATTTGTTTCAATCCCTTCCAACATCATAAAAAGCATGTCCATCGAGAATTTAACTTCATAATCCGCTCAAAATCTCCAAATCGAAACGATCATAGTATCATTCTACTCAGCTTGAACATCCCTTTCGAATGATATATTGTAAATTATATGTCAAGCAAAAAAGCTCAAAATGGTCAGGGAACAGCAAAAAAAGGGGGGACAGCCTTGGAATTACCTCTTATTCTGCCTTATCTGACAAAATAAGGTAACTGCCTTATCTGACAGTTAAACGAGAGAATTACAGTCTTATCTCCCCCTTAATCCCCACAAATCTGTATTAATTCCCACAGATCCTTTATTCGACCAAATATTTTTATTTGACCTTTAGAGTCATTTGACATTATTGGTTTTGATCTTCTGTAATGATCCGATTTTAAAGCCCAAAAAACCTCAATAAACTGGACATTTAATTCAAAAGTTGGCTCAACAGCACCACTTGTTTTAGCCTCAAGCCGTCTTTCTTCAACACCTTCAAAAAGGTGTCTAGCTGCTCGAGGGATGATTCCGGCAGTTAAGTTTGTATCCAAATTGAATTGATTTACATCAAAACAAGTCCCCATTGTGTAGGTTTTGCCGCTTCCAGTCTAACAAACAATAAAATTAATTTTGCTTTTATACTCTTAAAAGTCCGCAAATTTTAAGGTCTTATCTTAATTTTCCCCGATTTTATACCTACAAATATCCTTTTTGAAGATAAATGAAACCTATAGACATAATGAAACGAATCGTGAAGTCCCAACGGTAGGGAATCCCTATTCACAAAATCGGGAATTTATTTTTTTATGTCGGCTAGGTCGCTACTAAAAAGTCCGCAAATTTAACCAAAAGTGATGCTATTTATTTGCCATAAATCAAATATTTAGTCTAGAAAATTTTCTTGGTTTTACATCACCAAGATAATTATTTTTAGCATATAAATCGTTTTTTGATAATAATTTATACGTAACCTGCGAATAAAACCTCACAAAATCGATAACAATAAGGCTACAAAATAAATAGTCGAAATAACCTGGCCATAAGCCAAAACTGTTGCATTATAACCATCAAAAGCACCAACTAGCAAATTATGAATGCATTGATTGTAAACACCCTCTTGGGTTGACTGGTCAGAGAAAACAAAGTCTTTGGAAATTAATTAGCTTTTTATAGGATATAAAATTCTAAAACCATAAGTGAAGGATTTATCACGTCCTATAGTAATTTGTGGTTCATCCTGTGAAATAAAAATACAAATTTTCTCTTCTGCCGCCCTTTCTCTTGCATTTTGTGGCCGAATTCTAAATTGGAATTGAGCAAACAAAAATTCCAGTTTAAATACCTTACTGCAACAGAAACCGTGTTTTTCATATCGCGGCATTTTTGCCTCTGTTCATCCTCGATTAAGGTCATAAACTCAACTACAATCAGCAAATTTGATGCTTTTCTAAACTTATAAAACCATTAAAAGAGTGAAAATAAAAAATCGTTAATGAAAACAATGTAAAAGAGTAACAGGCTTTTAGAGTATCGTGGTGAGCGCGAGCAAGTTAATTCTTTCATACTATGTAAACTATTTGGGTGTGGGGCAAAACATGGAACGACAAAACGGTATCAACCCAGAAGGTCAAAACCCAGAAGGTCAATACCCAGAAGGTCAATACCAAGAAGGTCAAGACCAGGAATGACCCAGAAGGTCAAATGACCCAGGAGGTCAAAACCCATAAGGTCAAATACAAATTTCGGACGGATAAATAAGGATTTGTGCATATTAAGACGGATTTGTAGGTATTAAGGTGGATATCGAAAGATTTGGGAGGATTAAGACGGATTTGTTGGGATTAAGGGGGATTAAGATTAAGGGGGACGGAAATACTCTTGTGCAACTGTCGGATAATGCAAAAGAAAGGAAGCAAACGTATTCTCGATACTGATAAACCTTTATCCATCCAAATATTTGTATTTGACCTTTTGGATCATTTGACCTCCTGGGTATTGGCCTTCATGGTTTTGACCTTCTGGGGCGGACCCCAATTTAACGAAGGTGATATCGTATCCAGTAGTTTCGTTAGAATTAGTTTCGTCAGTAAGGCTGTATTGTTAAAATTCTTATTAAATGGAACAATTTAAATAAAATAATTTGAATTTTAAAAATTTGATTTCAAATAATTTAATCAAAATGAATCTAATATTTGATCAAACCCAAACTTTTCCTTCCAAAGCATTTGATACCCTCATTAATACTTCTAAATCCTGTGCTATCCCTGATTTAATGATTTAGAAGCATATCAGGTGGTTTGTGCGATTGAGCGTGATATCGTCAAAATAAAAGAATTTGTGGAAGATATCGAGGGATTATCAGTTATCAGTATCACTCTATTAGGATATAGTATGCAAAATATTGTATCCTCATTTGGGGGAGGATGTTATTAGGGAAAGTAGAACGTTGAGAAAAGTTTCTGCCCAAAGGACCGTTACAATTAGAGATCGGAATTTTGTTCCGTACCGTATTCCGTACCGTAATGACGTATAATACCGATACCTATAAATACATATGAAATTCAAAATTTTGCCTAGCGTATTCCGTACCGTATTATCAACTGTAATACCGATAAATACCGAAAAATACGGCCGTAGTACGGTACGGTCCGATCTCTAGTTACAATGCATTTTGTGCACAGATGGCATAATCTGTGGTAACTAGCAAAAAACTTTCCACAGAATCTGCGGAAATAAATTTCTGCGGATCTGTACATTTTTCCCATATAATCATTGGAGCCAGACATATCAGGACGGACATTTACGGACAGACATTTCCGGATCACGGAAATTCTGCAGCTGCAAAAACCGTTTTGGGAAGGGAACCCGGAAATAAATATTCCCAATTCACAACGTGACACTCCATCTTACCCGTCATCTCCTCATCTTCGCTTATCATAGCTCTTCTCTCTTTTTAAAATACAAAGGCATTGATTATTGTATTCGACTTGTAAGAGGGAGTTGGGTATAATTTTCCAACTAGACACTCCATCTCCTCCTCTACATCTGATTTCATACCCTTTCATTTCTCTATGGGTACAAATCATTCTCTATGGGTACAAATTTCTTAAACGAATCGCAAAGCCATTGTTTATTGCCATTCGACTTGTATGAAGGAGGGACGTGGCTATTAAAACAATTTTTATTTACAGCACTTATAAATGGCGGACATCCTCCCCGTACCCCCACATTCACTCATTCAACTTCTATTAGCTAAAGAGTCCAGTTAATATTAAATAAGGCAGTGAATTTATTTAGAATTTTTGTATAATATAAATTTATTTATTTTAAATTCTTTAATAAAATATTTGATAATAAAAGTTAATACTCCGACAGGAATTTAAAATCGGTCCCGGAAAATCAGATCAACATGTTCCACAACTAATTCGACTCAGTTTTAGAGCTCTTTCAAATGACACCTCATTTGTTCAAATCGTCCAAAAAATAAATATCTTAGTATCAGTCATAATACCGCCGTTTAATTAGATTTTTAATAAGGGAGCATTACTGACGAAAAGTACCTCTGACGAAAAAATGATGTTTCCCAACATAAATGAATATTCCCAACATATTTCCAACTTGACACTCCATCTTTTCCTCTCGCCTACTATATCCCTTCACTCTCTTTTCTAATTTTAATTTTTGAAAATCATATGCATAAGCATTGATTATTGCTGTTTGACATTGATATTGCTGTTTGACATTATGAAAGAGGCTATAGCTATTAGAAAATTTGTTTTTTAATTTTCCAGCATCTCTAAATCGTGGAAAGGCCCTTCCCTCTCCCTCCCTCCCTCCTCTCCATCCCTCCCGTCCCTCCATCCCTCCCTCCTTACCTTTACTCAGTCAATTTCCGTCAAATAAAGAAAAATCCATTAATTTTAACTTAAAGAAAAAAATTTATTTAAAAATTTATTGAATAAATATACATATGTATAAGGGTCCCAACATAGCCATTAAAATATTTTTTTAAATTTGTTTTAATTAATATTTAATAAAATATTTGCTAATAAAGTTTAAATAACAAAAGTTATTATTTTTCAGGAGAGCAATGAAGCTCTTAATCATTTATTTACTCTTTCTATTTATAACAAGCATTGTATGCCCTCCAAAGAAACACTCGAGAGATGGTGCAAAAGAGGATTTTGATCCAAATAAGCGCCGAAATGTGTCGGGAGAAAGTGACACCGGAACAGGAACAAGCAATCCAGACGCTACTACAAGTACAGGTGTGCCTAGTTCGCAAGGAGAGCAACAAACAGATTTTTTCGGATTGGATGAGATTTTTGGCAGTCATCCCTTTCATAATCAACAAGAACAACAACCTCCTCCAGCTGTTGGTCCTTCTTTCCAACCTTTTGATTATCAAAGCGATATTTCTGATTATTATCATCAGCCGATATTTTCTCCACCTCTTCCACAAGAATATTGGAGTTACCCACCTGATCAACTGACTACTCCTCCATTATTAGGTGATGTTTAATACAAATTAAGATATATAAAAATAAAGGGGAACTACATTAGGAAACATTTGTATGCGGATATGTCTTGAAGTGGGAAGCCCAAAACTGGTGTTTTTACATAGGTCCGAGCACTTTAGGACCCGGTTCTTAATGCATATTTTTGTATATTTCGATCAATTCGTGCATATTTCAGTGCATATTTTGGCAAAATTTGCATATTTTGATGCATATTTTGGGATTTCCGTGCATATTTTGACTAGACCTAGTGATAAATTCCGAGAACGGTCGGGGCATAAAGACATTATTGTTAGGATCGCAAATATGGCTATAAAATATTAAAATAAAATGACAAAATACTAACAAAAATGCCAAAAATTAGTGAAATATTGAAATAAATTTTAATAAACCATGTAGGTTCTGAACAAGGAGATTCAGCGTCAAAACAAGCCGAACAAACAGGGCAAGTCGATTATAACCCAACAACTTATCAGCCAGCTTTTACACCATTACCCTTTACTCCACAGAGTTTTTGGGATGATCATCATGATCAACTGACTCCTGTGTTTGTCGGAGATGACAATTTGAATCCAGCTGGTATGTTTATGAGGCCTAAGAGTGAATGAATATTTGGGGAGGATCTATTAAATAGTGAATTTTCTCACCTACGGCCTTCCAAAATTCTACAACTTTTTTTTTCTTTCACTTGGGTTTGCCCAAGTAAGTTTACCAGCTCGTTTATGACAATCATCTTTGTCATATTCCAATACAATTCTCCCCTTTACTTATCATTACAATTGTAAAGCATATGGCTATTAATTTCCTAAGGCTGAGCAGTAGACGGCGTGGTGTAATGGATAACACATCAGTCCGGTCTACTGATGTGCTGGTTCGCTCCCAGTCGCCGATTAACCTTTTGCACTAGCTAAAGGCAGAAATAGCTATAGCCGAGCTGCTTTACTCAATATTAACTTTTCTTTTAAACATTCTAGAAAGCCAACAAGAATATCAATCATCAAAACAAGCAGAGCAAGTTCAACAAAAGAGTCAAGCTAATCCAAAAAGTCAAGCTAATCCAAAGGGTAAAAAGGGTAAACTCATAATAAACTTAAATTTATCAAAATTATTTTCTTATCAAAGATAAAATACCGAAGTCAAAAGGATCAAAAAAAGAAAGAGCAGAAAGAAGGGTGAAATCCCTTGGCTACACACCACAAGAAATTAGAGTTGATGGGTCTTTTAAAAGGGTTATGGGGCAGTGCCTTATATGTAAACGATACAGAACTAACTCGAATGTAATTTAAAAATTTTATATTTGATTACTTTCAATTTTGACCCTGAGAATCTGGAATTATTCTCGTTTAACATCAAAAAACTCAATTTTAGCGATTTTGGCCCATAGATAAGATTTGGCCCTTAGATTCTTAATTTTTCAATGGAAACAAAGCAACAAATTTTTTTACCGGTTTTTATAACCTTAGTGAAAATGCAGACTATATGTTAGAGTTAGTTAACTTGCCTTCAATCAGTCTTCATATTCTATTGTTATAAATAGTGTTGCCTTAATGGCCGACTCGGACCGAAAGATTGAGTCGGGCCTAAGATATTTGGCCAATATTTGGCCTATGATATTGACCGCTCGTTCGGCCCGACTCGATAAAGTTAGGCTCAAAAAAGACACATAAGGCCCGGATCTAAAACGGTAACCCTACCTCTTTGCCTTTTATCAGCCCGGAAATATGTAATAAGGCCAAGGTGGATTGCCTTTTATTTTTTAATGTATGTATTTTAGTTTCCTGTAACCGATGAACAAGGAGTTGAGAATTGCGTTGATCAACATGTTAACTCAGAAGATCATCAATATGCTATGAGTTTGAAATTTCCTCTCTATACAAAAATTAATTTTAAAAATTTAGAGAAGGAAGCAAGCAGTAGAAAAGCTCAGAACTTAAAACTACAACA